TTTATTTATTCTATTATTTTACAGCGTGGCTCTATGCTCTATTCTCTCCTCTCCTCTCCTCTCCTCTCCTCTCCTCTCCTCTCCTCTCCTCTCCTCTCCTCTCCTCTCCCCTCCCCTCCCCTCTCCTCTCCTCTCCTCTCCTCTCCTCTCCTCTCCTCTCCTCTCCTCTCCTCTCCTCTCCTCCCTCTCCTCCCCTCTCCTCTCCTCTCCTCTCCTCTCCTCTCCTCTCCTCCTGATCTTTTCTCTGGCAGAACAACTTTTTCTGAATTGCTGCCGTTGCTAACTCCCTCTGCAGTGTGTCAGCAGAGTTTTGCAACCCCAATTATTAACACTGTCAAAAGAAGTCGTCTGTTTGAGGCTCAAATACCTTTTTGTATTTTTGGTGGTGAAGGCTAAATGGTCACAGTGTTTTTACTGATTTGCGATGTCACTGCAGCATCTGCTTCGTATGTCGACATGAAAAGTGACCTGTGTCTCTGTCCACAAATAAAAATGTGAATTTGATGCTATTAAATATCATCTCGTAAAAAATAATGACAGGTTTATAACAGAAGTCAAATGCAACCAATGACTGAGGGTATTTAACATCTTCTCTTAGTTATTGTATGCCAGGCTAAAGAGGATTCAGTAAAAACAGTAAAATGACACATAGAAAGTCTAAGATAAGATAAGATAAGATGGTACTTTATCGATCCCAATTTGGTCGTCCCCTCACCTGTGTTGCCTCGGTAACGGAGGCCAGCTGCAGGTACTCTGAGTTTCCCCAGCCGTACAGATCTCCATCTTTAGACACAGCCAGACTGCAGTCTCCATACGAGCTGATCTGCTGCACCTCCACCCCCACCAGATCCCCCCCCACCTCCACCGGGCTGCAACTCACCTGGTGGTGGCCCAGACCTGGAGGAAGAGGAGGAAGAGGAAGAGGAAACAAACATTTTAAAAAGACACATTTTCGATTTGGGATAAAAAAATGTCATCGTCAACAAAATAAAAGCTCTAAATTATATTTCATATGTCTTAGAAATGCTTAGAAAGAGAGCTCCACTTATTTGTTATTATTATTATTATTATTATTATTATTATTATTACTATATATTTTTTTTTCCCCTTCTATTTGATGTTTCTCATTGTAATGAGGCCACACCTCAGGCCATTAAGATTATAATGTATTATTCTTATTGCATTTTCTCTCTGTGCTTTTATTTAAGTAATTGGTATGTAAGATGAGATATACGTAGACAGGGTATGTGCAGGAATCCTGAAGTCAAATGTAATACCTGTTAAGACCCTTTCCATACATTTTAAGACCTCATCGCCACTTGGAGTTTTAACCGGTTACCTTGGCGACACACTTTACCTCACATTGACTATATACAGTATTGATTGTCCTTCCTCCTTATCTTCCAGCCATTTGCGGTATTTTTGGAACTTTAAGTATTTTTGGAATTTACAGTATTTTTGGAACTTTAAGTATATTTGGAACTTTAAGTATTTTTGGAACTTTAAGTATTTTTGGAATTTACGGTATTTTTGGAACTTTAAGTATTTTTGGAACTTTAAGTATATTTGGAACTTTAAGTATTTTTGGAACTTTAAAGGAGAGGTGTCATGACCATTTCCACTGATCATAATTCCATTGTTGAGGTCTACTAAAATAGATTTATACTGTGCATTTTTCCAAACTCACATTGGTTTCTCAAACAGCATCTCTGTAAACTACTTGTATTCACTGAATTTCACTATCTGCCTTTAACGGCTCGTTGTAGCTCCAAAAGCTCCAGCCCCCACCCTCCCTGTGAGCACAGTGTGCTCTGATTGGTCGGGACGTTGTGAATCGCGCTGAGCTCCGTGGAGGTGTTGCTTCCTTGTTTAGGACACATAGCGAAACACAGCCAAACTCATCCTGAGCACACACAAACTCACATCCGAAGTAAAAACAATAAGTGTGGCTTGATATTGAGTAAGAAAAAGGTTGATAAACGCTGTGAGAATGGGTCTGCAGAGAGAATGGGTCTGCAGAGAGAATGGGTCTGCAGAGAGAATGGGTCTGCAGAGAGAATGGGTCTGCAGAGAGAATTTTGCCGCGATCCCAACTGTCTGTTATCAGCCTGCAGCCAGGGAGGAGAAATCAGCTGAGCTGCTCCCTGCACACAGATGTGTGTGTGAGGAAGTCCGTGGATCGGTCAATTTGGACTAATCAGCGGGGGCTTAACGTAACGGCTCCGCGGACGTAATGTAACGGCTCTTCGGGATTGGTTCATTTCGTTCCGGGTACCGCTTGACATCATGCCGTACCCGGAACGAAATGGAAGACTCAAATGGGCAGTGACGTATTTCCAACGAGGCGTTTTGTGTGTAACTGTGTTACAGTTTTACTCGCTACAGGGTGTACTTTGAGGGTTTTGACTCTGCACACCGTTTACATGCATAAAAACCTTCATAACACACAAGGGGACGGGTAATAACCGGAAAAGCATGACATGGGAGCTTTAAGTATTGTTGGAATTTAGGGTATTTTTGGAACTTTAAGTATTTTTGGAACTTTAAGTATTTTTGGAACTTTAAGTATTTTTGGAACTTTAAGTATTTTTGGAATTTACGGTATTTTTGGAACTTTAACGGTATTTTTGAAACTTTAAGTATATTTGGAACTTTAAGTATTTTTGGAACTTTTAAGTATTTTTGGAACTTTGGACCCTTTCCATACATTTTAAGACCTCATCGCCACTTGGAGTTTGAACATTACATTGGCGACACACTTGACCTCACATTGACTATATTCAGTATTGAATGTCCTTCCTCCTTATCTTCCAACCATTTGGACGCAGACTTGCATTTCCCCATAACCATGTTGTTTAACAACCGGCGTAAACGGAGCTTCGCACGCTATCAAGCAGTGAGCGTGCGATGTCCTGTTCAGACGACGTCAAACCCAACGGGATGCCATAAATAAACTACACAGAATCACACTACACACCTACGCAATGATTACATTCAGGCAGACTGTAGAATACAACCTCTTTGGACAAAGAGTATTACAAAAAGAGAGCTCCACAAGTGTCTACAGTGGATTAAATGAAATGTTACAACACTGCTACCTTTATTTTTGCACTAACAGGGGTTGAAACTATAGATATACAGCTGGGAATTCATGTGTTTGCATTCACTGTATTGTTTTATAGTTTTAAAGTTCACTGACCAGTCTGTCCGTCTGCTCCCCATCCGCATGCAAACACTGTCCCCGCCTCAGTGAGGAACAGACTGTGATCCTGGCCACACGCCACCTGGGAATAAGAAAGAACATCCCATTTAAATGGTGTTAAAAGACACATCTACATACATTTAAAAAAATGAAAACTACACAGATCTGGGATTCATTGCTTTCAGTACATCTTTGAATACCAATAAAAACACCTTGAGCAAAAGACATAGACATCAAACGGCGACACATATTCAGTGTGCAGTTCCTTTGGCATTAGGGCAGGGATATCTAGATACTTCCCAAGGTTTGACATAATGAATTGTTCTGCTTTTAAAGCAAGCAACAATATTTTCAAATCTGTAATCAAAAAGCTCCTAAAAAACGCTATCATATATCATATATTTTTCTTAGCGGAAGAAATACGATAATTTTTAAGTCAATAAAATCATTTTAATTAATATTGGGAGTCGAGTGGTTAGTTTGTTTAGTATCTGGCCGTGTAATAAGCGGGATAATGTGCAGCGACTTGGTCATTATGGGGAAAAGAACACCCTGATGAGCCTGTCGGGTAGGGCTGTGCAATTAATCGTATTTTAATCTCGATTACGATTTTGGCTTGCAACGATTACGAAAACAATGTAATCGAAATAAAACGATTATTATTTTTATTAAAAAAAAAAAAAATTCTTTTTTTTTTATTGGTTTTTCTGTTGAATTATACTTAAAGTTCAGGGTAATCAACTGTTAAAAACATACTGTTCAACATTTTTTTTTCAATATATGGATGTTTTCAAAGTAAATGGATAATCGTTTTTAATAATCGTGATATCAATTATTGACCAAAATAATCATGATTATGATTTTTGCCATAATCGCACAGCCCTACTGTCGGGTGTTCTTTTCCCCATAATGACCGCCTCGCTGCACATTATCCCTTACTGAGTACATTATTTTAGGAAGAAAAGTCCACATCTGATTTTAGCTTCTTAAAATGTCAATACTTTCTGGTTTATTGTAGTTTGCACCTGAATTCACCTACCTGTGCAGGAGGAGAAGTGATCTGCACTCACCTGTGTGACTCTGCTGCTGAAACCTGTCATTCTGTGGATGGTGTGACTGCCACTGTGTGAACACAAGAGAAAAAGGTCCATCAGTCCATCAGATAGATAGACTATTTGTTGTGTTTATTGATTTACAAGAAGAAATGCTATGCCATGATATATTCCTTCTAGGGATGCCAGCGATTATTCGATTTTTCGAATATTCGTTACAGTCTCCATAATCGAAAATTATTTTTAAAATTCGATTTTATTTATATATTTTTTTATTATTATTATTTATGTTTTTTTATGTGGCGAATCATCGATTAATATTCGCCAGGGCTGTCCGATTTTCGAATTTGATCATGGTCAGTTTCTGGCATCCCTAATTCCTTCATTTAGATAACAACTTTATAACGCAATCGAAAATTACTGCTTTATCGTCCATCCGAAAAAAGAATGATGGCACAAAAGATGCCAAAATCGAGCTCAAAATTAAATATTTTCCTTTAAGATGGAGCTTTCAACAAAAGCAGCAAATGAGACATAAACACATTCTTTTAAAAGTTGTAAAAGACAAACCTGTAAACTTCATCTTCGACTATCGGCCTCCCACACTGGCCGTACGCGTTGTTGCCCATACTGAACACTACCAGAGAGAAGGGAACAGAAAGTGCAATAAGAAAGTGCTACGAAATATTTGTTAAATCCTGAAAAAGATACAGAGCACCCATTAAACAAGTCAAGTGGACCTTTATCTATTTTCATAAAACGTTACAGCACCAAAGCAACCTTTGAATGTTCAAGAAATATATATTTATTTTATGTTTTTTGCCTGGTTTCGTCTGAATGTGGTGCAGGAGAGTAGTGCGGCTGTAGTAATCCAATATTACACCCTGTCCTCACTGTGCGGCTCCTTCAGCGACAGGCTGCTGCACCCCCGCTGTTTCACGGAGAGATACCGCAGGTCCTTCCTTGCAGTGGTCAGACTATACAACCAGCACAGCCCCTAGTTGACCCCCCCCCCCCCCCCCCCCCCCCCTAGACAGACTATATCACCCCTTGCTGCTAAATACCAACAAACTATGTGCAATATATAAATGCCGTTAATAACTGTGCAATATATACCTGGCTGCTAAATCCTTAGAACTGTTACAAGGTGTGTATTTTGTAAATTGTAAATTGTGTAACTTGCTGCTGTTAAATACCAACCACCTGTGCAATATGTGCTAGATGTGCAATATATATAGATGCCGTTAATAACTGTGTAATATATACCTGGCTGCTAAACCCTAAGAACTGTTACAGGATCTGTATTTTTTATAATTATGTAACTTTTTATTTTTTATTATATCATAAATTAGTACTAATAAAGGTATTCTGATTCTGATTAGTGCCGCGAGGGACTAAACAAGAGAAAAACATTGTCTGACGCGCAAGAAAACAGCCTTTCCACTGGAATGCGTTTGACCTTTTATACAAGCGGAACAAGCAAACATACAATTATTTCTAGTCCATACCCAGTATAGTGATTGTCTATGCGTGCATGCGGTGAATTGTCCTTCCCCAGCTCACTCCCACTCCATCTATGACAAAGCGCGCAGGTAAAAGCAACCGGATATAACCGCAAACGTCACCACACAAATCCAATAGACACGCCCACCACCTATAGTGACTTAAAAATGCTGACTTAAATAAACACAGAAAATACTCCACGTGTGGCGCCTACAGAGAGTCTCTCTTACCTCCTTCCTGGTCGGTGAGGATCAGAGAGTGAGCTCGACCGCTCGAGACCTGAAGCACTCGAGTCTGAAGAGGCTTCTGGAGAGGAAGAGCCACCGGAGACGGCTCCAACACCAAGTCATAACTCTTATCTGCACACACAGGAAGAAGACATTTAAAGGTCACCTATCATGCTATTTTTAGGCAATAGCATAGGTCTCAGATATATAAATATATATATAAAAACATGTCTATGAAGTGTTTTGCTCAAAAGATCACCCATTCTAGCCATGCCTCATATCCCTCTATTTCACTTCCTGTTTCAAAAGTGCTGATTTGGGTATAAAGCTTTAAAAAATAAACAATTGATAAATAATTTAAAAAAAAGGAGGGGTCTGAGCTCATGCGGGACCCGGCAGCTACTGTCTAAACTAAATACTGCCGTGATGAAACGCCATATCATGGATTATCAAGGATTGTCTCTGAAACAGTATGGAGCTCAAAGGCTTTCTCTCTTGCCGGTTATACCACCAGGTGAGTTCCTTTTTATTTCCTGCTTCTTCACACACATGCTCTCCAGTACAGGTTAGCTCTGAGTGTTAGCGATGCTAATGTAAACACCGACCATATTACGTCCAAAACAGTCGGGCATTGTTTCTGATAGCAACTTTCTGATAGGCCCGTGGGTCCACATTTCAGATATTACGTCATATCGGACGCAAATCTGAATCAGCTCCGTTGTTCCCCCGTTTTTAGAGATTTGGGTACGGAGGAAAAGAGAGAGGGTTTTATTTTCTGACGCTGCGTGAGTTCCCTGACACACCGGGGACACATGTTAATGTATAAAGGACATCAAAAAGTGCATTTTGCATGATAGGTCCCCTTTAACATTTATACTTTTCATATGGAGATCCTCAAAAATGTGTCCTTTATTTAGTCCAGCTACAGATTCATTTTTTGTATTAGTCTTTATTTATTTGGGGTCACATTTTATTAAAAGTACACTTTTGCAAATCATATATTTCTAGAGACCCGAGAATGACAAATTAAATACCGAATAAAAATGAAAAAGTACATAGGGTTTGTTTGAAATGACAATCTACTTAAACACCCACACACATATATATATATATATATATATATATATATATATATATATATATATATATATATATATATATATATATATATATATATACACAAACATGTACGTACACATACATACCCACATACCAATAAATCAACATACATATACACATATGATAATTAATGTCTTTTATTTGTATTATATATTTCTATTTAATTTTTTTGAAATGATGTCCTGTCTTGTCTTTGCCTCTGTTTTTCCCATGTTGTATGTAAGTTGGTGTAAGGTATGGCGTGTCTTGTAACCATGTTGTTTAAAAGAACGGAAAACTAATAACAGGGTTCTTACACCTTTTTCAAAGTCAAATTCAAGCACTTTTCAAGCATTTTCAAGGTGCATTTTCAAGCTTTTCAAGCATCTTACAGCTGTTGTAAATTACATATTTATATACACATACTTATACTCAAATGATTATTTCCCTGCCTCACATTAAATCAGATGTTCTTTATGCTATAAACAACCAAATGTGTGTTTCATAATAGCATTCTACATGAAGATGAAAAATTAAAAATGTTAGAAAAGAAAACTAAGTTTAATATTTCAAAATGAGTGACCCATCTGTACGTAGACTGGGCATCCCATATAACCTGGCTGAGCCAATATAAAACAATCAGCCAAATAACTTTTCAATACATTATTGATTACTATTTTTGAGGTACTTTTAGGTTGGCAGTAAACATAAGTCAGAGGTAAATGGTGTACTTTTACTCCACTACATGTATTTAATACCTTCAGTTACTTTCCAGATGTGGATGAATGATGTGAAATATAATCAAGTGTTAAATCAGACTTTAGTTCCACCTGGAGTAAATTCACAAGCTACCCTGCAGTATACAAAGTCATTCAAACTAGCTGCACCTTTGCCAGCTTTGAGAACACTTTCATGATCAATCATTATAAAACATATCATATACAATTATTAGGGATGCTCCGATCGCCAATTTTGGGGAATCAGCTTGTTCCAGAGGTAGATCAAATAAAATAAAATAGCTAAGTGTGTTAGGTCTAACTCTTAATGTGTGTTCTGCTCCGCTCACCGGTCCGTCACAGCGGGTGGAGCTGCAGGATTTCTGCTTCACACACACGTTGCATACCGCTATTTTATTGTCACTTTCGGACACTTAAAATACTGCCAGACTAGTGAAGCCATTTTGGCGAGCTTGTTTTGCCGCGTACTGAGAAAAGTGTCATGTATTTTACATGCAACGTTAGCCTAATCTAAAATGCTCTACTATGGCGTACCTTTCGTGTGGTGTGTCAGCGCAGACTCTCGCATCGTTATTGTTGCACACTTTGCAGGAGGCTACTCTTGGGCTTGACCCTCGTCTTAGCCATGGCTTGTATTTGTCTTCTGCTAGCCAACGCTCGTTGAAACGCCAACCTCCTGGCATACTGTCATCTATCACTCTCATCAGAATGCCCAGGTCACACACGTAACAAAAACACTTGCCGGTCACGCGCATTGCGCGGGAAGGCCGGAGCGGAGCTGTTTTATGTAAAAGCGAAGCAATTAAGCGCGCTCCCACTTCTTTATTTTCTTTTAATCTAAAAAGCGAAGTAAAGCATTTACAATTTCAAGCACTTTATCCCAAATTCAAGCACCATTCCCAAAATTCAAGCACTTTTCAAACCTTGAAAACACCTCGTACAATTTCAAGCATTTTCAAGGATTTCCAGCACCCGTACGCACCCTGTAATAAACATATTGTTTAAAAAATGAATTCTAATGCTTTTTAAAGATATTTTAGAGCATAATGTTTTAAACTTGTCCATCAACTCACGGCGGCTGTCCTGCGTGCGATGGAAGCCGAGCTGAGAGTCCTTATTCAGGCCCATGCCCCACAGCTTGATCACATCTTTGGTCCGCGAGGCGATGAGCGTGAAGCCGTAACCACAAGCAGCCGACGAGATCTACCACAGAAGAAGAAACTTTATTATTGTAACACCTCCCACACTTTCTTTGTAATACTTACAGTGTCCTGTGCTAAAGATGAACACCTTTAAACCAGGACTCCAATATGTAGATGGTAAATGGACTGTACTTATATAGCGCTTTATCCAGTCTTTAAGACCCCTCAAAGCGCTTTACATACTACATGTCATTCACCCATTCACACCCATTCACACCCATTCACACAGAGCAGTGCACCTTACTCTAGGACCTAACATTCACACCCATTCACACACCGTTGACCATCGGGAGCAACTCAGGGTTAAGTATCTTGCCCAAGGACACATCAACATGTTGGCTGCACGGGCTGGGATCGAACCCACAACCTTCTGGTTGAAAAGACGACCGCACTCCCTCGCAGCCACAGTCGCCCCGAATATGTATTAAACAATTAACAATGATCACTAACATGTTGTGTATTCTATCAAGTTAGTAGAGAAGCAGAGATGAATCCCAAACGTTTAAGTTAATTGATTAATTGGTTTTAGGAAGAAAAGTCCACATGTGATTTTAGCTTCTTACATGTCAATACTTTCTGGTTTATTTCAAATTCAAGATTCAATGGTTTTAATGTCATCATATGCACAAAGCTACAGTGTAGAAATGGCAATGAAATTCTTATGACCCGAGCTCCTCCAACGATGCAACATATACAAAATACAAATAAAAAAATAGTGCAAGAAGTCTATATACAAGTAAATAGAATATGATAAGAACAGAATGTAAAATGTAATATTGTACAGTAAGATGAAATTAAATAGATTTTCAAATATTTTTTGATTTGACCACTCTATGACAGTAAAGTTAAACACTCAACAATATGGCTCCGGTGATGATGGCTGCCGTGTCTCTTCAACTCTGCCTTTTTGTATTTCATTATATATGTTGCATTGTTGGAGGAGCTCAGGTCAGAAGAATGCATTGCCATTTCTACCCTGTAGCTTTGTGCATATGACAATAATAATAATAATAATAATAATAATAATAATACACTTTATTTGTATAGCACCTTTCTTGCACAAAGCAGCCCAAAGTGCTTTACAGAAAACACAACTACAATACTAAAATAATATTAAAATAAATACAGAACAAGATAAAACATCAACAGTGATCCTAATGAAATTCCCTTGAATTAAAGCTGACAAGAAATTAAAATGGGTTAAAAAGCGCTCCTACGGTCCGTAAACTCTGTTGATTCCTTCAAAAGTAATTTAAAGACTTTCCTGTTTGGGTTACCTGTGTGCTTTTATTTTATTCAATTGTATCCTATGTTTTTATTGTGTTTTTATTGTGTTTTTATTGTGTTGTTAGCACTTCTTAACACGTGGCGTAGTCAGGAATTATTGTGTGGGTGGGCCTGGAGAAATGTAGGTGGGCCAGGGGGAGACTTATTAAGTGTGGGGTCTGAGCTGAAACTTCATTAATGATTTTATTTATTTTTTAATGCACTAATTAAACATAAGCATAAACTAGCAGTGAAAACAAAAACCTAGGCACGGCGGCCTCAGAATGTAAAACTGACTTCCACATGACTGGCTCGGCGGCCACAGGTTGTTTATCCTTGACAGTCGCACAGTGGGCACACACTGAGAGTATTTTCATATTCAGCAAATGTGTACACGCTTCACTGCAGACCTCAAGAAGAAATAAGACTTTCATTCACTCACGGCAAAACTTACTTTACTTACTAATTTACTCACGGTAAAAAAAATGCACTCCCTATTCCATTGTCATGAAGGTGGAATCTAACTATATCCAGAATAAGTTGTATTGGATCCAGGCTAGAAACATGTTTATTTCTGCTGTGAAGTTGGGCATGTTAACATGGGGGTCAATGGACATGGCTCCTTTCTGCATCCATCCCCTGTTGGCCACTAGAGGAACTGCAGTTTGTGGCACTTCCTTCTGGGCTTCCCGGCTCTGCCCCAGAGTTTGCCGCTAGTGCCTGGGCCAAGCCCCCAGGAAGTGCGCCGGACTCTGAGGAAAATATTCGTTGTGGCCAAACGGCGGTACTACACTTCCGTATGGGTTGCTGGGCCCGGAAACACTTTTTCCCATTGACTTACATTGGGAAAGAGTGGTCTGTAAATCGTTGGATATTATTTTTTAAACTAAATAAACTACCCTGAACATTTGTATAGCCCTTATTAAAAACATTCGGTCCTTAAGTTGTAAAATGTGCTAATAATGTTATTCTGAGAGTTATTTTCCTTGCATTATGAACACGCATCTGAGAGTGGGAGCTCGGGGGGCGGGGCTTAAGGGGCGCATACGGGTTCTTCTGCTCCGACAGCCAGGCATGATGGGTAATCTGTGACGTTTCGCGCTCTCAAAAGTTGGGCCATTTTGTCCTCATGCGCCAATGAGCAGCTCCCATAGGAAAGAACGAGACCCCGCCTCCTCGGCCCACCCAGAGCTACGCCACTGTTCTTAACACGTGGCTTGTGTGGTCATTTATTATTTTATGATTCCTATGATGTTTTAATGTTTTGTCAAGCACTTTGTGACTTTGTCTGTGAAAAGCGCTTTATAAATAAATGTTACTTACTTAAAACCTTTGAATCTTGAATCTTTGAATGAGGCCCTACTGTATATGACGCTCTTTAAAGCTGCTTTCACCTGCTCTGCTGTCTCCAGACGGTACGGAGTCAGCTGGTATTTGCGAGGTGTCTTCCTGCCGCTGTCCGGCACCACCAGGCTGGGGATCCCCAGGGCGCCGGTGAACGAGAAGCCCCAAACAAACACCTTGTGGCTGGGCTTCTTGTTCTTTCCGACGTACTGAAACACTGGACCGGAGTCGCTTCTCTCCCGCGGGCTGGAGGACTTACTGAGAGTCGAATAACCACAGACCTGAAGGCCTCTGGTGACGTGACGAGAGCAGAGACGCACACAGGGGAGAGCCATCCTGTAGGGAGAGGAAATACAGGGATATATATTGTTAATCAATATAGCTTATTAGGGTTTTTTACTGAACATATTTCATTCCATTCTATTTCAATGCATATACTGCTTTATTTTATTTTACTATATTTCTTCATGTTATTATAGTTTTCTTAAAATAGTTCTCTATCTGTGTTTTTTTATTTTTGTTGTACTTGTATGTATGCACGACGACACCAAGTCAAATTCCTCGTACGTGTCAACCTACCTGGTGATAAACCCGTTTCTGATTCTGATTCTTAAAGTTAAATACAGTGAGGTGTTTTGGGCTGGAAGTATTCATTGGTCGTTGTACTTGTATATTTATATTTGGTGTAAATAGGTAATAATATTTAATAATAAAGCTTTATTTGTATGGCACTTTGCGTACACCAGGTGCAGCTCAAAGTGCTTGTTTCTATTATTTGTAATGTTCAATCGTTTTAACATGAGGGAGATTATTTTCCTGGTTTATGTTTTAATTGGAAATATATCAAAAGAAAGTCTACTATTACTTGCTTATATGTGTCCTTGTTGTATATAGACTTGTACAGTTGGTTTTCATTTGACAGTGTGAAACAATTTGTAAAAATAGACAAATATTTGCAAACCTCCCTCAGAAACAACCAAATATATAGTACAATTCAAAAAAATAGTGTTATTTAAATGTATTTAACTGCATAAATGCACGTTCAGTTTTGATAAGCAGCTACATCTGTTCACCTGTGTATTGAATTGCTGAGATAAAATGTAACAGCACAAAACCCTGTACAAAAATCGAGACATAATATGCTGATTTAGTTTGATTAAAAGTTAAACAGATAATACTGAGAGATTTTGACATTTTTCAAAGTCTCAGAGCCTATTAGTTAATTCGGCTTGATTCTGGTCCATTTAACAGCTGTATATTTTAATTAAATGTCACATTTGTATCTCCCCATTAGCGAGCTCCTTCATTACTGCTAATGCTACTTAACTGTCATTAGCAAACACAGGTCAAACGCCCAATTTAGGTTAAAAATGATCCTATAACAAGTTGTTTGTGTATTACATTAATGCCGAATAAAAGAGTGAATCCTAATCATTCGTTTAAGACAATGAGCCATGTTGTAGGTACAGTAAAACAGCCACAATAACAACAGAAGTATTAAATCATCAGTATTATGATCGGAGTTTCACCACGTGTTCTGAGATCGATTTAACGTACCTTTACTTCCTGATCCGGGTTTAATAATGTGTTTAAAAGGTGGACAATCTAACTGTTACTATACAAAAAGCGATGTGAATCAGATGAAACCAGAGTTAAATATTTCAATGTCATTTCCACGCGTTTGTTTACCTTTAGTTAATCTGAGTAACCCGGATGTTCTTCTTTCTCAATCTCATGTTGAGGAAGCACTGCGCCATCGACTGGACTGGAGGGTGTAATGCATGGATGTACAGTAGCCTATAGTAATGCAGGAGTATTCAAATGACGTACTGTACACACTGTTGTTATAATATCTTTCACATAACAAAGATGCTTTAGATATAATTAAAACAATACATACAATTATATAACATATCTGGATATTTTATTTTTGTATCTTAAAGGTAGGGTAGGCAAGTTTGAGAAACCGGCTCGAGATACACTTTTTGTTATATTCCATGGAATGCTTTTTTAAATGGGGGAATAATATGTGTTTGTATGCCATTTATGTCATTTTGGTTAAGAAAAATAACTTGTATAATATTTAGTATTATATTTTGGTTCACACAATTTTTCACTATTTATAGTTTTAGACATTTTTTTTACATTTTGAAAAAAAACGTTTTGAACATATTGATGCAAAGATCTCCGCTATTCTGAGACCCTCACAGTATTCAAGTCCCTTTTCAAAACTCATCTCTTCTCCTCTTGTCTACTCATAGCCCACCCCCCATCAATCCATGCCGGTTGATCAAGTTTGATAGTCCTATACCCCCCACCCTAACCTTCCCTTATATTGTAAACGATTTTGAGTCCTTGAAAAGCCCTATAAAAATATAATGTATTATTATTATTATTATTATTATTATTATTATTATTATTATTATTATTATTATTATTATTATTATTATTATTATACTGACAGGTATCAGATCTTGCTGTGTAAAATAATCTTCCTGAGAGGTGTCACTTGTAATGTAGTCTGTGTGGTCCACAGTGAATGTATTCCTGACAGCAACAGGTGATAAGAATCAAAGGTTCCCATAGGATCCCATAGAAAATGCATGCGGGTCATTTTTGACCCACTTATGGAAGCTTGGGGTAGTAATACAAAAACTACAATTTCTTAAAATGTATAACATTTTAAATTAAATTTGAATGGCATGATATCCAAAACATGTTTTTTGAGGTATAGCTGGAATATGAAATGATAAAAAAATGTAATTACAAAGATACTTCAAGAAAACCACCTCACCGGGTCAAAAAAGACCCACTTATGCATCTAAGGGTTAAGGGTTCACGTTCTTCAAGTGAAGTTGCTTTAAGTGTCCATGACTGACTGATAATCTACTCTGGTGTCAGATTAGAGGGACTGGAAGTTTAGAAGTGGGTTAATGCTGCCATCAGGGGAGTCTCACAGGTCCCTCACCTGCAGAGGGTTTGTAAAGCAACATGTCAACAGCATATGACAGTCATTTGACGCCATCATTCATATAAATAGCAATACATTTATAGAACTTTTTTTATTTAGTTGACATTCAAGAGACAAAGGTTTTGCATCAATACATCACAAAACGCTTTCAATACCCGATACAAATAAACATTTTGTCCGGTTTTTAGGAAGCTGCAGTCGGCCGTCTAAAAGCAGGTATATCTGCAGAGAGACTTTAATCCTTTAAGAGGATCAGGTCTGAGATCCAGGGCGACGGGGTGAAGGACGCTCGTACTGTCTGTAGTGGCTGCACTTGGCATCGATCACACTGTGAGCATGTGTTTCATGTTTCAAATACGGTGATATTTTGGGCACTTTGGTGAAAATATGGATATAAATAAACATGGAGGCCGAGGCTGCGTGCAATTGTTGGAGTAATGTTCTGCATGTATCCTGAATATTAGGACGGGGCGGAGGATTTAAGGTAAGCTACAGTGTGAGTGTGCACACATTTGTTTAAAAAAAACTCTGTCATAATATATTTCAACTGAAAAGAAGTAATTGGATATTGTACTGAAGTAAAGGCAGCAATACTAGATCTTACAAAATACTCTGTTGCAAGAAAGGCCCTGCATTCAAAATCTTACTAAAGGTACACCGGTATAAGCATCAAAATATACTTAAAGTACGTGCATTTTCTAGGCCCATTCTATGTAGAATTTAGTAGAAATCTGCGGACTCAGAGAGACAAAGTTAGTCAAATAAAGATCCTAATGTATATAGTGGCTGCTTTTATCCACCAGTGTTGCCCAGCGCATGAATAATAAATTGTCAACCTGCAGCTTGAATCTTTATATTCAACACAATTAAACTGTATTTATTTTGCTGAAACACACAGACATCATGCTGGTGCTGCAGGTGTTCTGCAGCCTGATTGGCTGGTTCTGTCTCTACCTGTTGTTCTGCTACACCTTCGCTCAGCGGGGGGCCGAGTGGAGCTGCAGACTCGTCACTCTGTCTCACGGTGTCATCATCGTGCTGCTGACGGGATACGTCCTCTTCATAGACGGACCTCTGCCTTTCACTCATGCAGGTAAAGTATAACCTAACAAAAAAAACACTAGATCTCCTCAAATATGTCACTACTATTTAAAGGTCACCTATTATGCAACATCCACTTGTCTCTTCTACATCAACATGTGTCCCCTCTTCTTCATGTCTCTTCTACATCAACATGTGTCCCCTCTTCTTCATGTCTCTTCTACATCACCATGTGTCCCCTCTTCTTCATGTCGCTTCTACATCAACATGTGTCCCCTCTTCTTCATGTCTCTTCTACATCACCATGTGTCCCCTCTTCTTCATGTCTCTTCTACATCAACATGTGTCCCCTCTTCTTCATGTCTCTTCTTCATCAACATGTGTCCCCTCTTCTTCATGTCTCTCTTCTACATCAACATGTGTCCCCTCTTCTTCATGTCTCTTCTACATCAACATGTGTCCCCTCTTCTTCATGTCTCTTCTACATCAACATGTGTCCCCTCTTCTTCACGTCTCTTCTTCATCAACATGTGTCCCCTCTTCTTCATGTCTCTTCTACATCAACATGTGTCCCCTCTTCTTCATGTCTCTTCTACATCAACATGTGTCCCCTCTTCTTCACGTCTCTTCTACATCAACATGTGTCCCCTCTTCTTCATGTCTCTTCTACATCAACATGTGTCCCCTCTTCTTCATGTCTCTTCTACATCAACATGTGTCCCCTCTTCTTCATGTCTCTTCTACATCACCATGTGTCCCCTCTTCTTCATGTCTCTTCTTCATCAACATGTGTCCCCTCTTCTTCATGTCTCTTCTTTCATCAACATGTGTCCCCTCTTCTTCATGTCTCTTCTACATCAACATGTGTCCCCTCTCCTTCATGTCTCTTCTTCATCAACATGTGTCCCCTCTTCTTCATGCCTCTTCTTCATCAACATGTGTCCCCTCTTCTTCATGTCTCTTCTTCATCAACATGTGTCCCCTCTTCTTCATGTCTCTTCTTCATCAACATGTGTCCCCTCTTCTTCATGTCTCTTCTACATCAACATGTGTCCCCTCTTCTTCATGTCTCTTCTACATCAACATGTGTCCCCTCTTCTTCATGTCTCTTCTACATCAACATGTGTCCCCTCTTCTTCACGTCTCTTCTTCATCAACATGTGTCCCCTCTTCTTCACGTCTCTTCTACATCAACATGTGTCCCCTCTTCTTCATGTCTCTTCTACATCAACATGTGTCCCCTCTTCTTCACGTCTCTTCTACATCAACATGTGTCCCCTCTTCTTCATGTCTCTTCTACATCACCATGTGTCCCCTCTTCTTCATGTCGCTTCTACATCAACATGTGTCCCCTCTTCTTCATGTCTCTTCTACATCACCATGTGTCCCCTCTTCTTCATGTCTCTTCTACATCAACATGTGTCCCATCTTCTTCATGTCTCTTCTTCATCAACATGTGTCCCCTCTTCTTCATGTCTCTTCTACATCAACATGTGTCCCCTCTTCTTCATGTCTCTTCTACATCAACATGTGTCCCCTCTTCTTCATGTCTCTTCTACATCAACATGTGTCCCCTCTTCTTCACGTCTCTTCTTCATCAACATGTGTCCCCCTCTTCTTCATGTCTCTTCTACATCAACATGTGTCCCCTCTTCTTCATGTCTCTTCTACATCAACATGTGTCCCCTCTTCTTCACGTCTCTTCTACATCAACATGTGTCCCCTCTTCTTCATGTCTCTTCTACATCACCATGTGTCCCCTCTTCTTCACGTCTCTTCTACATCAACATGTGTCCCCTCTCCTTCATGTCTCTTCTACATCAACATGTGTCCCCTCTTCTTCATGTCTCTTCTACATCAACATGTGTCCCCTCTTCTTCATGTCTCTTCTTCATCAACATGTGTCCCCTCTTCTTCATGTCTCTTCTTCATCAACATGTGTCCCCTCTGTGGAAAGAGACTCTGAAAGTTTCAGGAACAAAGATTCTCTCTCTTTTTGATCCATTTCTATAAAAACCTGTCTGAAAATGAGCTGATCAGATTTTGGCCACTTTATGATGTCATAACGATGTTTTGTCTTGTGTAACCATTAGCCAATCAGCAACCAAGGTATAAATTATAAATATTTAGGTATTTTCCTTCTCTTTATAATCTATGTTGTAGTCATATGGGTCTCTTTTTAATCTCTATTCATTAAACATTTGTGTCTTTTTGCCCGGTCCAAGTCGCTTCTAGTGACATTTTGTAGATAAAGGCCCCTAAAGTTTGGTGCACAGTTCACATTAAGTGTTTTCATTACATCCAACCCTCCTCTCCGTCCCTCAGGTACAGAAAACACAGAGCTTCAGTCGCTCTCTCTGGCCGTCTGCCTCGGATACTTCTTCTTCGACATGTGTTGGTGCGTCTGCTTCCACACCGAGGGCCCTCTCATGCTCGCTCATCACGCCGGCAGCATCGTTGGGATCCTCCTGGCGTTGCTCATGGGCGTTTCCGGGTGCGAAACCTGCGGCGCGATCTTCGGCAGCGAGATCACGAACCCTCTCCTTCAGACCCGATGGTTCCTCCGGCAGCTCGGCCTCTACGATAGCCTGCTGGGCGACGCCGTGGATCTGCTGTTCATCGTTCTGTTCGCCACCGTACGCGTGGGAGTGGGTACAGTCCTGTTTTACTGCGAGGTGACGTCTCCGAGAACAACGCTGGTAATGAAGCTCGGCGGCGTGGCCATGTACGCGCTAGCCTGGGTGTTCATGGTGGACATCGCAAGGTTCTGCTGCAAGAAAAGTAGAGCGAAGTATAACAAGTGGCAGGAGAACAACAAGCTAAAAGAAGCACAGAAAGTGAATGGGAAAAGTGAATGAATTCTTAATTTTAGTGCCACCTTTGGCGATTAGCGGTAATCAGGTGTGATTTGGGAGCTTTTGATAAAAGGTGGCACAAGGACCAAAAGCTTGAAGAAGTCTTTGGAAATAAGTAACAGTTTTTTGTCGTTTTTTGTTACACTCTTCGTTTTTGCCACTTTGGTGCCATCTATGGTGATTAGCGGTATTACAGGTGGGATATGGGATTTCACTTCCAAGAAAGCGATACTTGGGGACTTTTTGTGTGTTTTGTTACAGAAACGTAGAGCGAAGTATACAATGTGGCGGGAGAACCACATGCTCAAAGAACGCAAAAACTAAAAGGACGTTTAGAAAAAAGTGACAGCATTTTTGTTTAGTTAGGACCTTTGTTTTGTCAATTTGGCGCCACCTATGGCTATTAGCGGTATTACAGGCGTTATTTTGGATTTCACTTCCAAGAGAGCGGTGCTTGTAATAAAAATGTAGCGAGAGAACCAAAAGAAAGAAACTTAAAGAAGTCAAAGCACAAATACTTGATGGACTTCTTGGAAAGCATGACTAACTCCATCTGTGATTATGGTCTATGGTTTGTCAATTTGGCGCCACCTATGGCTATTAGCGGTATTACAGGTGTGATTCTGGATATCACTTCCCAGAAGAGCGACGTTTGTGATTTTTCTCTGTATGTAGGTTTGGCTAGAGGAAAATCAGAGCAGAGTAAAAGGTGACTAAATAAATACAAGTTCGAAGACGTCAACACAAAAAAACTGGATAGCTACGATCTTGAAGACATTTGATTCGTGTGTTTGGCGCCACCTGTGGGGATCAGTGGTAAATGCAGGTGTAGTTTTGAATGATCAACTAATCAATTAATCAATTAATAACTACAACATTTTCAATAGAACATTTATAAAACAGATTAATAGTACATGGATACTTCACCCTCTTTAAGTAGTTTGTGTTAAAACATTTCATGATTGCATGGTGAAAAAAACAACACAAAACCTTCGATATACAGTCATAATTGTACAATATATTCTTTTACAGAGGAAACAACCTTTTTACGTCTGAATATTCTTCATTCATTTGATTTTCTTGTGTATTTCGCCCCCAAAACCAAAGCCATGGTGTCATGTGAGTGGTCTTGTGGCTATCTGAGTGATTTCTGCCCAACATTCAAGTGAAGTGGTTTAACGAGGAAATCTATGTACCTCAAATGGAAAAACAAGACACTATGAAAAGCTCAAGATGGCTTTTAAAGTAGCCTGTTGCAAAAATGATCCTTAGGAAAAACCTCCTCACGAAACTACAGGGGAATTATAAAAAGCATTTGATGACGTTAGAGAAATTGTCTGCAAAACAAATAATAAAGTTAAATCCAAGAAATGCACATGTGCACGCTCTCTGAAAAGCTTGTATTGTCCGTTATATGGTGCGTAGTGTTTAGCTGCAGTTATACAAACTGAGTGTTGTTTTTTTTAACCCTCCTGTTGTCTTCGGGTCAAATCTGACTACTTTCATCAATCATAACTTTTTTGTTTTACATTCCATTACATTCAGGCTTTATGATATCCTTCACAGTAGACCTTTGAACATATAAAATTGCTGATCACCACTTTCATTGGATTTTGGATGATTTAGTCAACTTTGTAACACCCATGGTGTTCCAGGTCAAACATGACCGCCATAAAGAAAAGGAATTAGTAACCATCCGGATCAGATAAAACACACACATATACTCTAGATGTGTCCCCCCCCCTTATGTGCCCATCCCCCCACATGGATCACACCTGGCACACGCAATACATGTTCAGTGTCTGTTCTTTGTATATTAACTGCAGTTGTTCATGTATACCAGTAGTCTGATACAATATGTACAGTTTGAAAGGGTGTTCAATGAAATGTGGTGATGATGAATGTTTTTTGTGTCAATGTAATAGCAGTTAAAATAGGACCGGTCAAATTTGACCGCGAACACCAAAGTAAGGGGGGGAAACGAAGACAATAGGAGGGTTAAAGATTGCTCTGTTTTTCTACGTGATTTAATTGGTAATCTAAAGAAACCCTCATTATTTTCTTCAGTGTTTCTGTATCAAAACCGGGTGAAAACAGGAAAATCTCAGGATGAGTTTCTTAATATTTCTTCTTTCATCTGTAAAATACGTGGGGGGAAAATGTCAGGATAATTTTTCTTAGTGACTGTAAAAAAACAACATTTGGCAGTTTTTCTGTATCCTTTTGCACCACCACCCCATTATCTAAGTAAGAATAAAAGCACTCATTTTCAAATCCAAACTCACTCAGGAAAACATACAGACAGATAATGTTGGTTCACCTGCCAAACGTTTGTTATTACAGATAATACAACTAAAACATTTTGTGATTATCCTGGCAAAACCTTTTTTTTTACCACCAGAGTGATCACCCTTGATTACACACAAAAAAAGTAAAGAATTGTTTACCAAATCTGCTCCATTAATTTGAACAAAGTATATTTCTTAAGCACAAGTGATTCTATTTTTACGTCCATCTGCTTTGTTGATAATGAGCAGGCAGCTATCTGTGTCTGTTTGCTATATTATGCTACATTCAAGTGCTACAGGAAATTTGAAAACTGGGACTTGAAAGTAAGCAATGAACAGCATTTCACGTGTATTATATTTACTCAGACATCCAAACCAGGTGGACACACAGTACTGGAAATGTTGAAGGCTTTAGTGTTGATCTCAATGGGATTTTTAACCTGGATAAATAAAGGCTACAAAACAAAACAAAGTGTTGCCAGGTGTTCATTTTCAATGGAGATTTCAGGAATATGACAGCATATCGGTGGCATTTAAAAAAAGTGGTTTTAAAGAAATATGAAGTCATGAAGAACAGGAGAATATTCTGAAAGGGGAGGGATTAAAGTCATACATTTACGAGAAAAATGGTTCAAATTTACGACAAAGAAAATCTAATATTTTGTAATTTCTTCTATTCAAATCTCTCTTTTGCATGATTGGAAAAATATATAATCACTTTTTCTTGGAAATGTACAACTTTAATCTAGGAATGTATCCCCCCTCACTCCCCAGCTCTGTAAATATTCCATTCAATTAATTATTTTCTTACCTAAAATAGCCATAATACAGCGTTGCTCTAAAATCAAATCTTTTCAAATCAAACGTACAGCAGTGAGTCCTGAACAAAACAAATATACCTTTATGATCCATTTCCTCGTTTCACTCCTTAAAGTTTTTCTAAATCCATCTGTGTGACTCCACACTCGACTTTCTCCAGTGTTTAAGATAATTTATATAGTTGATTAATAATATACTGCGGAAGAAAAAAAACGGCTGAATTGTCCTCGGGTGTTTCCACAGAGTCTCTCCTCAGGAGGGTTTTGAGTTTATAGTGAATAGTTTCCTAAAACGATGATCAAGTCTTCCACTGATACGCGCCTGAAGTGTGAGATCTGACATTCAGCCTCGCTTTCTGTGCGACACCAATGTTCAAAAGTCCAAAAATCATCCGGAAGAAACCGTGGAGTGGAGTGGCGTCAAACTCATACGAACGAGGGAGAAGAATCTGAAAGTAGAACGAAAATTTAATTTAGATTTGCTTTCTTCAGAGGCTCCGTTTGAAAGTGTATTTCTATCGTGATTTGAGCCAACAAGACATTATCATCATTAAAACTACATTTGGGAAGATTCTATTTAATAGAAGCAAATATTTCTTTAAAAAAAAAACATAATTTCTTCTCGTTATGATCGGTTAACTAATAAAAAGAAGTGGGAAAACACAGACATACGTGTCTCTGTAAATGCGTACGTGTAGAAATCAGCGACACACACCGTGGTTTTCTTCGGCGTCAGCAGCTGGGTCAGTGTGTGTTTGTTGCAGCTCGTTGTACTTCATCTCCACCTCCTGAAAACAAGTAAACAACAACACAATTACTAAGGTCAAATATAAACATGATTTATTTAGTAGGAATTTAGGATTTTAACTTCTGACTTTGGCATCAACAAGCAGTTTCAGTGTATTGCTGTGAAACTACACGTTTTTATCTCTTCAACAACTTTTATTCTTATTTTTCTTCAACGTAAAACTAACTTGTTTGGATAAAAATCCAGCTGAGACCATATTATTGGTACAGTTGCAGGTCAGACATGAAGGTAAGGCGTCTTGTGGCTGAGGTTGAGGCCTTTCCAGTGATTATAAATGGTGTTAAATGCCTTGATCATCACAATGGATTTCTTACGAATAGAAATTGCAAAAAATACGGTTAACCAAGTTTAAAAAGTGAACAATAAAATATATTCTGCAGGTTTTTTTTAAGGAAACTGGGTCGTATTTTAAAGAGATGTTCCAATAAATTCTTGTTTGTCAATTTCCCCGCGTTGAACTCTGGTAAACCAGCAAAAACCAGTTAAACACAACTATCTTTGGCCTGTGTTGGCCCCACAGTGTGTGTGAAAGCAGCTTTAGTGTCAGTAAGTGTCAGCACCTTGAGATACTGCAGGTCGGCCTGCAGGAGGCGCAGGTGGGTCATCAGCTGCCGGCTGAGGTTCGGCCCTCCGCCGCCCGCCTGAGAGGAAGAGGAGAGCAGCTTCCTCATGTCGATGCCCACACCTCCTCCTCCTCCTCCTCCTCCTCCTCCTCCTCCTCCTCCTCCATCATCATCAGTGCTGCTCTCCTCCGAGCCGCCACCGAAATCGAGGACCACGAAACCACCTGAGGAAGAAGAAGAGTGGGAGGAACCATTGTTAAATTATTATTAGAAACAAAACTGTTGAAGGGTTACGTACACAGTTTGGGATAGAAGTAAAAAGTGGTATGAAATGGAAATATTCAACTATAAGAATCTAAAAATAATACTTCTAATAAAACTAACTAACTTAAAGATAGGGTAGGTACTGTAAGAATGGAGAAACCAGCTCCAGTGCGCTAGAATTTGAAAATACGCAGCCGAAAATAATCTGCCCCTTCCTTCAGACTTCCTTACAGAGCCCCTCCTCCAACACACGAACGCGCACATGACCAATGAGGGCACGAGATAAGTTTGTGCACAGATGGAAGGCTGACAGGCAGGTAGGCCATCCAGTTATTTTAGCCGGGCCGGCTCAGATCGTGCTTTTTACAGCGCCACGGCTTCCACAGATTATATTTTTTTAATGTATTTTTTGTCAAAGCATTTAAGATATTCATTGCTATCGGGATGTTAAGAGCATTCCATGGAATATAACAAGTGTTTCTGAAGTGAATTACCTACCCCACCTTTAATTAAGTCGCTTAAGAGGCTAAGTTTAGTTCTTCATTGTAACACGTTCACAATAAGCAATCCGTAATGAAGTTCTTGTTCGATCATATTTTATAACGAAAACTGAACAAACACAGAAAGACCCGACGGTCAGCAAAAGGTATCGGAACCAATTCATCCTCTTTGTCCATCACACAGGCCCTTAAATACCCTAAACCACACCCATGTGACAGGAAGTGACTAATAACAACGGGCTGTGTTAGGGCTGCTCAATTAATCGTATTTTAATCGCAATGACGATTTTGGCTTGCAACGATTATGAAAACAACATAATCGAAATAAAACGATTATTTATTTTATTTTATTTATTTAAAGGTGGGGTAGGTAAGTTTGAGAAACCGGCTCGAGATACACTTTTTGTTATATTCCATGGAATGCTCTTAACATCCCGATAGCAATGAATATCTGAAGTGCTTTGACCAAAAATCCATAAATAAATATCATCTGTGGAAGCTGTAGTACTGTAAAAAGCACGACCAATCATCTGAGCCGGCCCGGCTAAAATAACTGGATGGCCTACCTGCCTGTCAGCCTTCCATCTGTGCACAAACTTATCTCGTGCCCTCATTGGTCATGTGCGCGTTCGTGTGTGTTGGAGGAGGGGCTCTGTAAGGAAGTGGCAGATTTTCTCCGGTTGTGTATTTTCAAATTCTAGCGATCTCGAGCCGGTTTCTCAAACTTACCTACCCCACCTTTAAATTATTTTATTTTTACATTTTAAATTTATATTGGTTTTTCAGTTCAATTATAAAGTTCAGGGTAATCAACTGTTAAAAACATACTGTTCACATTTTCTTTTTCAATAAATCGATGTTTTCAAAGTAAATGGATAATCGTTTTTAATAATCGTGATATCAATTATTGACCCAAATAATCGAGATTATGATTTTTGCCATAATCGAGCAGCCCTAGGCTGTGGTGTAAACAAATAATGATACAAATAGAATTAAACAACAATAACTGAATTCACAGTTTGGCTCCTTCATACAGAACTCGAGTAAATGCACTTTGTCTGGAGATCCCTCACCGTCACCGTTTTGTTTCTGTGATGGTGGAGACCCTCGGCTCTCATGCGGCCCCTCAGGGCTCCCAGGAAGAGACCCACTCTGATCCTGAGCCTCATCTTTCTCCTCCTCTCTGCTCATCATGTGGTGGAAGAGAGCCTGCTTCAGCATGGCCACTACAAACACAGGAGAATGTGTTTTACATTTGACACTCTTTAAAGCTTGGATAAACACTATGCAGAGGAATTATTAGTCCTGTGTTCCATATATAGACATTTTATTTATTGGGATAAACCCCTTGAGATGCACCATCTCGTTTTCAAGGGGGTCCCGACAATAGCAACAACTTACAGACATACATAAACAAAAAGGGGACCTATCATGCAAAATGCACTTGTGTACGTCTTTTCTACATGAATATGTGTCCCCGGTGTTCCAGGGAACTCACCAAGTGTCAGAAAACACAACCCTCTCTATTTTCCTCCATACCCAAATCTCTAAAAAAGGGGCTGCAACGGATCTGATAAAAACTGATCCAGATTTGAACACTGTCCTGACGTCAGGACGGTGGCGCTACGGCTATTGGGCCAACTCCACCAATCAGGAGGAGACAGCCACGGCCATTGCCGTTCGAAAGCGCTGGAGACGCTGTAGTACATATGCCAGGCCTGTAGGTGGTGCTGTTCTCACTGAATCTGCCCTTGCTAAAACATGTGCAAATTGAGCAAAATGAGGCATGGCTAAAATGCATGATCTGTTTGGTATTTTGAAAAAAAGAAAGTATAAATATGCCTTATATAGGTATGGTCCTACACTATATTATTATAATATAGCATGATAGGTCCACTTTAAGTAAAATTCAAGTAATACATACAATCATTACAATTTGAGAGACAGTCGAGCAGATCAGTTTCATCAATAACAGACCAGTTGAAAGTGAGGTGATAATGTTTAAACATACCCAATGATGCAAGAGATCTAATAGCAGCAGGTAAAGTATTCCAGTCAGCTGGGGCTTTAATAAGTGTACCAAAATCTCTTTTTCTATGATTAAATAACCATTAGGGTTATAAGGTATATAAGGTAGAAGTCGGGCAAACTTATACAATTATATTGATTAATTTCAATGCAGCTTTTAAAGGTCACCTATCATGCTATTTTAGGCATATATTATGAGTCTCAGATATATACAAATATATAAAAAACGTGTCTATGATGTGTTTTGCTCAAAATACCAAACAGATGATGCATTTTAGAAATCCCTCATATCCCTCTATTTCAGCAAATCTGGATCAGCTCCGTTGTAGCCCCGTTTTTAGAGATGTGGGTACGGAGGAAAAGAGAGGGGGTTTTATTTGAGTTCCCCGACGCACTGGGGACACATATTTATGTATAAAAGACATCACAAAGTGCATTTTGCATGATAGGTCCCCTTTAACACCAGGAATAAACGATATCACAATATCTCAAATCTGGGACAATATCCGGGCCCACGACTAATAATATGGATATACTGTATTGCCCTTTTTCTAATGCTCCCTTTAGTGAGAGAATATTGTAATCTGATATATTGTTATTTGGGTGACTCTCTGATCTGTCACTTACATGTCCTGAGAGCTTCTTCTCCTTTAGAGGACGGAGAGATGAAGACGTCCTGCTCCATGTTTTCTGCAGCGACGTCCTGATGTGTCTCTTCCTCCTCCGGAAGGAAGGGAAGTCCGTCCTCCAGCTGTCCGTCCAGGAAAGCTTCTAGTTCTGCTTCATCCACCTCCTCTTCTTCCTCTATTTCCTCATCTTCATCACGTCTGTCCTCCACCGGCAGCTCCTCCTCCTCCTCCTCCTCCTCCTCTTCCTCCTCCTCTGACTTCATGCCATCAAACGGGTTCAGACTCGGAGCCGGTTGGATGTCTGGAGAAGAGACGGCGACATCTTTGTCTGAGAGGACATTTCGAACAAGAGGGTGATGGTGTTAATTGTTAATAAAATAAATATACTTAAAGTGGACCTATCATGCTATATTTGAATAATATAGTGTAGGACCATACCTATATAAGGCATATTTATATTTTTTCAAAATACCAAACAGATCATGCATTTTAGCCATGCCTCATTTTGCTCAATTTGACAATTTCGAACTCTGTTTTTGCAAGGGTTGATTCAGTGAGCAACAGCACCATCTACAGGCCTGGCATATATACTACAGCGTCTCCAGCGCTTTAGAACGGCAATGGCCGTGGCTGTCTCCTCCTGATTGGTGGAGTTGGCCCAATAGCCGTAGCGCCACCGTCCTGACGTCAGGACAGTGTTCAAATCTGGATCAGTTTTTATCAGATCCGTTGCAGCCCCTTTTTTAGAGATTTGGGTATGGAGGAAAATAGAGAGGGTTGTGTTTTCTGACACTTGGTGAGTTCCCTGGAACACCGGGGACACATATTCATGTAGAAAAGACGTACAAAAGTGCATTTTGCATGATAGGTCCCCTTTAAATATTGAATTACAAAATTCCTCACAAAATGCAAAACTTCCTGGCAAAATAAATTATTAATCCTCACAGAATAAATGTATGAATTCCTCAAAGGTTCAATCAGTAGAAATCCTTATTCCTTATAATCTTTATTGTAAAATAATAAAACATCCGCACAGATTCAATAAACTAAAAATTCACACAAAATACATTTAAAAAAAAAATCATAACAAAATAAATACTGACAAAATCCTCAGATTTAAAAAAAACAAAACTTGACATAGAGAGGCGAAGTCCCGCCCATCTGCTTCCGCCCCATGGGACCTTATTTCGGAAAAAGTTTGTATTGAAGTCAATGGGGAGAGAAAGATTATCTTTCGATCCCGTTTGAATTGTGCCATGAATTACACATATGATGTTTGTCAATTTAAAAAATAATTTCCATGTCAAAAAAGTCACAGTTTGTCGTAAAACTGTTGAAATATAAGACTATGAAAAATACGCAACTAGAAAGACTACAAATCCCAGAGTCCCGGTCCCGCATGCTGGCTCTTAGGAACCGACTCACTTCCCTTGTGTGTATGTACAGCTCTCAACATGCCCAGACTTGGACTGATTTTCACCTCTTTTAATACTTTCCGCCTCATTCTGAAAGAAAGAAGTGAAATGTGCCAACGTGACGGCCGTCTTGGTGTGTGGTGCGAGACGGGAGATGTAGTTCATTGAGCGGTTTCACACAAAAAAAGTGTTACTTCACAGTTTTACGACACATTTTTATTTTTTTGACTTGCAAAATTATCTTTTAAATTGACAAACATCATATGTGTAATTCGTGGCACAATTCAAACGGGATCAAATGATAATCTTTCTCTCTCCATTGACTTCAATACATAATTTTTCTGAAATAAGGTCCCATGGAGCTCAACCGGAAAGGGAGGGACTTCGCCACTCTATTGTGAACAAGTTGTAAACTACGGGAGAGGACAAGGGACAAATGCAAACAAATGCAGATTTAAGATGTAGTCCTAATTGTTTTACTAGGTACAATAAAGCTGTCAATAAATGTTCTGTTAATTGATTAATATACTAAATGTTTGAACACCTCAGAAACCTAATTCATCCACATCTACAGTACCTGCAGATTGGACGCCTTCACTGGATGTGACGTCGGGTTCTTTGCTCACTTCTTCTTTGATGATCTCAATGGCCTCATGCTCGGCTCTGAAACACACTCACATTAGAAACAATAACAACATATATATATCTTTATTTAACTGAGTAAGTGTGTGGTGGGGACTCACTCAGTCTGAGCTGCAGGAGGGATGATGTCTCTGTTCTGAGGTTTTCCCTTCATGGCACTCTGTGTGATCAGACACTGCCACCTGCAGGAGGAGCAGCACGAGGACAACATGACTGTGCCATCAACTGCTTACAAATAAATGATTAAACACTGGAGAAAATAAAGTGTGACGTACGCTCTCTGATCGAACACCGTCTGCGCCATCAGCTCGTAGATCTGAGCGCCGTTCTCAGACATGGACAGCACGAAGAAAGACTTGTTGTCTGATGAAGAAAGAGAAGACATTACAACAAAAGTTAGTGTTCCTCAGAGTCACTGCAGGGGGTCCACAAAGCAGGTTTGGCTGTGTTTTTTATTTAAGGGTCTTAAATGTTCATCGGCTAAGGGCCCTAAACCTGAAAAACAGACGGAGCATTTTCTCCCTATTACATATGTTTAACACTTAAGTTACAGATAACAAGTGGCCTATGTGTGTACAGTATATGTATATTCAAGGTTCAAGGTTCTTTATTGTCAAACTAACATAGCTACAGAGTAATTATGTCATTGAAAATCTTAGGTCACAGGCTTCTCCAACAATGCAACACAATAATACAAAAAGAAAAATAGTTCTAAAAAAAGTGAGACAAAAAAAGTGGAATAGTGCAATACGAGTCTATATACAAGTTATTGGAATGATATATTGGATAAATAGATAAATAATTACTGAGTAGCAGATGAATGTTGTGAAATTGTTTCAGCAGTTCAGGTGTTTAACAGTCTTATTGCCTGTGGGATGAAGCTGTCCCTGAGCCTGGTGGCTTTTGTCCGGTTGCTGCGGTAACGCCTGCCAGACGGCAGCAGACTGAACAGTTTGTGGCTGGGGTGATGGGGGTCTTTTATAATCCTGAGGGCTTTCTTCCTGAGCCGCTGGGAGTAAAGGTCCTGCATGGATGGCAGCTCCGTCCTGGTGATGTGCTCTGCAGTTTTCACCACCCTCTGTAAAGCCTTACGGTTGAGGTCGGTGCAGCTGCCGTACCAGGCCGTGATGCAGCCAGTCAGGATGCTCTCTATGGGGCACCTGTATGTATGTATCTGTACGTACATGTATGTATACTGTATATATACATATGTGTATATGTGTGTATATATATTCATGTGTGTGTGTGTTTAGATACATGTGTACATGTGTAGATATTTGTCATTTCAAATGTACTTTTTATTTTATTGTACTAATTCTGTTCATTTTCGGATGATTTTCAAAACTATACTTTTAATATAATGTGACCCCAAATAAAGAATAAAACAACAATTAAATAAAAACTAGGCTTACAATAATACTAGAGTGACCTGAAGTGTCACATATAAACATCCTAACAAACCGCTGAAACCTAATAGTGTAGTCCTCACCAGTAGCGACAGGCCGCACTAACACGGTGTTGAGTTTGATGACCGGGCTGAAGATGTTCTTGGTGTCGGCGGCGCTGGTCGGGTTCTTGCCGTGAAATTTGAGAACCAGGCGCTCGTCCTGTTTCTGCAGCAGAACCAGGATGTCGTCCAGCAGCAGGGTGTACAGCTCTGAGAGGGACCAATACAGTATATCAATCAATCAACAACTTTATTAATCCCACAAGGGGCAATTGGTTATGAGCATCTTATGTCATGTACACAGGCAGGAACATACAGGAAGAAAGCACACAGAAACACCCGGGAAACTGGATGTGGATCATTCCAACTTACACCATAAATAGTTCATAGCATCACAATAAATAAGTAAATAAATAATCAAGTTAAAAAACCTGTCAAGAATTTAAAGGTTTGAGTGCAGAGGGGATGAATTATTTTGAAAAGCGATTTGTCTTTAGAGCAGGGGGGTCAAACTCAAATACACAGTGGGCCAAAATTAAAAAATGGGTACTAGTCGAGGGCCGGACTGGATCAATGTTTATTGCAGAACTTATGGAAATGAACTTATTGCACATATTAAACCTGGAACTAACAAAGCTTAAATTATTGCCTATAAAAACAACATTAAACATTAAATAATCATTTGCATTCATTTCTTATGGCTCTATGTGCAGCTTCATTTCTTATGATTACATTTCTCCACAGGCCAACAACAGCTTCAAAAAAACTATTTCCCTCAAAGAGAAAACCAAACATGCCCTGTTGACGTGAGAGAAAAAGTGCAGAAGGAAACATCCATGTAAACTCAGTGTGCTGCTCTGTGATGCTAGTTCAAGCCAGATACTTGGCATCTCATCTTGGGAGCTAGGTCATCAATGTTTGGGCTCAGGCTCTGAGCGGAGGAGACCCTCAGGATGGAGTGAAGGTGTGCCGTGCAATATACCGGCGGGCCAGATCTAATAGTAATTAGAAATTATCCTGCGGGCCGAAATTAAATCCACCAAGGGCCTGATTTGGCCCCCGGGCCTTGAGTTTGACACATGTTAGATTAGCTAGAGCATATCTACGCCCTGATGGCAACAGGTGAAATCCATCTGCAAGAACATGACCTTGAGAGGCAAGCATGCTCTCTGCTTTCCACAGAATCTGCTGGTTACAAAAGGAGTGTATGATTCCTCCTCTTCATTCATAAGCAGGTGGATGGTTAACACTGCGTTTGTATGTAGGTGTTATTCTACTGATGTGTGTTTGTACCAATTGTCTTGTCTTTGTTGACTTTCCAGGAGAGCGGTCCCTCGTGCACCATCTTCCTCTTAGTCAGGTCCAGACTCTGCAGCACACAAATACAACAAATATCTTTGATAACAAGATATTAGCCGTGTAGAATAAAGGGGAATACATGTTTGATGCATCAGATGTAGTGCTCTTGTGCAAACAGCATGCAGTAGTCTGATAATCAGAGAATATAATCAGAGTGTCAGAGAGGTGATGAGTCTCACCCTCAGCTCCAGGATCACGGGGTTTTCACTCGGTTTGAGAGACGAGAGGTCCAACCTCCTCTGATAATCCTCCAGCCTCTGTTGAGAAAAACACAACTTTTTTAAACAAGTTTCAAACTATGACAAAATATGTTCTCCTCAAACCTTTTCTTACCATGACAAGACAGAGCGTTAATCCCAAAAGGTGACAACATGGCATTTTGTTGATGTCTAAAGACGCGATGTAGTTAATAATACTGTACAAATAACAACTGTACAAAAAACGCTCTTTTTTGGTTTACAGAAAACCTTAAAATGAAATGATGTTGTTATAAATAAAGGCGGATAAAAAGGGAGGACTTGGGGTAACTTAATACTTAGTTAAAGTTAATAATAACATCATGAAGTTAGGTAATATTTTGGCTTGACTAGATTGACTAAAATGGTTAATACGACCTGATGCCTACAGATTTTATTGATTACTTTAATTCTTTTCATATAGGTTAGGTTTCACTCAAAACATTTTTAATGAGCACTATTTCAAACCCCCAAAATGTGCAAATATAAAGAATTGAACCTGGTTTTTCCCCAAACCTTCCACATTGCTCTGTCTTTAAGTGATAAACGTATATTTGACACTGATTTTAAAGTGCGTACCTGTTTGTTCTCCGCCTCTTTCACAGCCTGGTTGACGTGGTTCAGGATCTTTTTGCAACACTCGCCGGCTTTCTTCACCTTTTCCCTCTCCTCACCGTCTCCTGTGGGGACATCAACAAATCTCTGGTAAATCCTCCACATATAACCAGTATCATGATTTAAAAACACACCTGCACAGAGACGGCAAAAGTACACACATCCTTTACTCAAGTAGAAGTACAGATACTCGTGTTTAAAAATACTCTGGTGAAAGTAGAAGTACTGACTAAACTTCTTTACTCAAGTCAAAGTAAAGAGGCTTTGAAATGTACTTCAGTAAAAAGTACCCATAACTAGCAGCTGTTTTAAAGAGTACCTGACCTCCCTTTATATTAATAGAACAATAATGTCATTGTTAGCTAATGAATGTTTCCATGCTGAACAACGGCAACATGACAACGTTTTCATTGGTCCCTCTTCTTTAGAGAAGACCAGGAAATGATGGATACACGGATCGTGTTCAAATCAATAGGCACGCAATGACTCTAAATAATAATGATCACGCCACCAAACACACATTCAAACTAAAGGAACCAGCCTGTTTGGAAAATGTGAGAAGTAGAAAGTACAGGTATTTGGGTTCAACATGTGAGAAGTAGAAAGTACAGGTATTTGTGTTCAACATGTAAGAAGTAGAAAGTACAGGTATTTGTGTTCAACATGTGAGAAGTAGAAAGTACAGGTATTTGGGTTCAACATGTAAGAAGTAGAAAGTACAGGTATTTGGGTTCAACATGTAAGAAGTAGAAAGTACAGGTATTTGGGTTCAACATGTAAGAAGTAGAAAGTACAGGTATTTGTGTTCAACATGTAAGAAGTAGAAAGTACAGGTATTTGTGTTCAACATGTAAGAAGTAGAAAGTACAGGTATTTGTGTTCAACATGTAAGAAGTAGAAAGTACAGGTATTTGTGTTCAACATGTGAGAAGTAGAAAGTACAGGTATTTGAGTTCAACATGTGAGAAGTAGAAAGTACAGGTATTTGGGTTCAACATGTGAGAAGTAGAAAGTACAGGTATTTGAGTTCAACATGTAAGAAGTAGAAAGTACAGGTATTTGTGTTCAACATGTAAGAAGTAGAAAGTACAGGTATTTGTGTTCAACATGTAAGAAGTAGAAAGTACAGGTATTTGTGTTCAACATGTAAGAAGTAGAAAGTACAGGTATTTGGGTTCAAAATGTAAGAAGTCAAAGTAAAAAGTCGTCAGAAAAATAAGTAGTGGAGTAAAGTACTGATACCAGAAACATGTACTTAAGTACAGTAACAAAGTATTTGTACTCCACTACCTCCCACCTCTGTGTATGACAGGTGTTTGGCTCCTACCTGTGTACTTGGCGATGTTCTCCAGCAGCAGAGGGTACTTGGTGACTCTCTGCATCTCCACAGGGATGATGTCTTTCAGCTGCAGCCGGCGGCACAGACGGTTACTCTCAGCCTCCTGAAGTAATGAATATAAAGATGATTAAAATAGATAAAACCTCTTTAAAATGCCCTCACAGACGAAGCACAGCAGGATCTCCAGAGGGCAGCAGAAAGCCAAACAAGGACATTTTAAAACATGATGAAAAATGACGAAACATTTATGAAACAGTTTTTTTTATGTGATTATTAAAAAAAAAAAAGATAATTTTTTCCCTTCTCATATTAACATTTTGATTCAGTCAAAGTCTAAAAATACAATCCTATATATTTTTAAATTATCAGTTCTATATCTGTAAATCCATATACTTTTCAAATATGTTCATATCGATAAAAATCAGCATTGAATCAATAAGTAATCTTCTTTGCCTCAACAAAAAATACTTGAAAGTGAAAGTGACTTTTTATGAATGGAAGAATAATGAAAAGATATATATTAAAAGTATGAAAAAAGTTGACTTTCTCTTAATTAAAATACTTTCACTACACCGAATCTGAGTGACACTTGCTTTGTAATGCCTGTTGTAAAATGCCATTATATAATGTTTTTTTACTGTATTTATTCATAAAAAGTATTTTTATTTGTTTTGTAAAGCACTTTGAATTGTCGTGTAATGAAAAGTGCTTTATAAATAAACTTGCCTTGCCTTGACACTACCTCTGATCTCTTTACTTAAAGGTGGGGTAGGTAATTCACTTCAGAAACACTTTTTGTTATATTCCATGGAATGCTCTTAACATCCAGATAGCAATGAATATCTGAAGTGCTTTGACAAAAAATCCATAAATAAATATCATCTGTGGAAGCTGTAGTTCTGTAAAAAGCACGACCAATCATCTGAGCCGGCCCGGCTAAAATAACTGGATGGCCTACCTGCCTGTCAGCCTTCCATCTGTGCACAAACTTATCTCGTGCCCTCATTGGTCATGTGCGCGTTCGTGTGTTGGAGGAGGGGCTCTGTAAGGAAGTCTGAAGGAAGGGGCAGATTTTTTCCGGCTGCGTAGTTTCAAATTCTAGCGATCTCGAGCTGGTTTCTCCATTCTTACCTACCCTACCTTTAATGATCTGCTCTGTATTTCCTCTTCCTAACTAAAACCTGCATGGTGTTTCCTGTGTTTATCTCCTGTTTTCTGCTGACCTGCATGAACAGAGTGAACTTCTGGTCCTTCTTCTTGCGGCTCTTGATGAGCTCCAGAGCCGACGGCTGGTTGCTGCAGAAAGTCCCCACAGCGCGTTTAATCTTCTCCTCTTCCTCCCCGCTGAACTGGAACAAAACACACAAACACAACGTTTACACTCGAGGTATTTACTGAAACATGAATATCACTTTGCCCTCTTGCAGTTTGTCTTTGCCATGAATTGAAACGCTCTTACCCAGGCGAGCAGATCATCAGCGATCTGCCCGATCACCGACGTCTCGCTCCTCTTCCTGATGGCCGTCATCTGCTCTGTGACAGAAACTGAGGAGCAAGAGAAGAAACTCTGAAACACAAGTTGTAAATGCAGTGCTTCTGTCTTTTAGACACATTTTCAGTAATAAAATAATGAGTTGTGAATGAATCCAATGATGAAACATAGTTTTCTCATTGCAACCAGGCACCTTTTTGGAGCCTTAATCCAAGCCTTACTCCCCCCCAGTATCAACATTAGTATCACACACAGTATCATCTTTAAAAAGGATGGAGCATATACTGAAAACGTCATTTAAATTGCAGTAGGAGACATATATCAGGGTTTATTTTAGACATGCATTATTGAAGAGTTCCATAAAATACATGAACATATCTGGGGAAAAACGATAACTCGTCAAATATTGTAACGGCATTTCAACTTCTGCAAATAAATATTGTAAAGGGATTCTATAATTTGTGCTCTTCCCTCTGTGCATGCAGTCTATAAGATGTGTGTGTGTGTGTGTGTGTGTGTGTGTGTGTGTGTGTGTGTGTGTGTGTGTGTGTGTGTGTGTGTGTGTGTGTGTGTGTGTGTGTGTGTGTGTGTGTGTGTGTGTGTGTGTGGTGTGTGTGTGTGTGTGTGTGTGTGTGTGTGTGTGTGTGTGTGTGTGGTGTGTGTGTGTGTGTGTGTGTGTGTGTGTGTGTGTGTGTGTGTGTGTGTGTGTGTGTTACCGTGCAGCTGGATGATCTCCTCCAGGTTGACGAAGATGTGTTTGATGTCGTCGGGGGGGAGGACGGCGTCTCTGCTGAGCCTCTGGTGGAAAACACCGTCCAGAACCTTCAGCATGCGGAGGTGAGCTCGCTCCGTGTAGAACAGCTCTGAGGGGGGGGGGGGGGGGGGGGGAAGTACACACATCCTTTACTCAAGTAGAAGTACAGATACTCGTGTTTAAAAATACTCTGGTTAAAGTAGAAGTACTGACTAAACTTCTTAACTCAAGTCAAAGTAAAGAGGCTTTGAAATGTACTTCAGTAAAAAGTACCCATAACTAGCAGCTGTTTTAAAGAGTACCTGACCTCCCTTTATATTAATAGAACAATAATGTCATTGTTAGCTAATGAATGTTTCCATGCTGAACAACGGCAACATGACAACGTTTTCATTGGTCCCTCTTCTTTAGAGAAGACCAGGAAATGATGGATACACGGATCGTGTTCAAATCAATAGGCACGCAATGACTCTAAAGAATAATGATCACGCCACCAAACACACATTCAAACTAAAGGAACCAGCCTGTTTGGGAAATGTGAGAAGTAGAAAGTACAGGTATTTGTGTTCAACATGTAAGAAGTAGAAAGTACAGGTATTTGGGTTCAACATGTAAGAAGTAGAAAGTACAGGTATTTGGGTTCAACATGTAAGAAGTAGAAAGTACAGGTATTTGTGTTCAACATGTAAGAAGTAGAAAGTACAGGTATTTGTGTTCAACATGTAAGAAGTAGAAAGTACAGGTATTTGGGTTCAACATGTAAGAAGTAGAAAGTACAGGTATTTGGGTTCAACATGTAAGAAGTAGAAAGTACAGGTATTTGTGTTCAACATGTGAGAAGTAGAAAGTACAGGTATTTGTGTTCAACATGTGAGAAGTAGAAAGTACAGGTATTTGGGTTCAACATGTAAGAAGTAGAAAGTACAGGTATTTGTGTTCAACATGTAAGAAGTAGAAAGTACAGGTATTTGTGTTCAACATGTAAGAAGTAGAAAGTACAGGTATTTGTGTTCAAAATGTAAGAAGTAGAAAGTACAGGTATTTGTGTTCAACATGTAAGAAGTCAAAGTAAAAAGTCGTCAGGAAAATAAGTAGTGGAGTAAAGTACTGATACCAGAACAATGTACTTAAGTACAGTAGCGAAGTATTTGTACTCCACTACCTCCCACCTCTGAGGAAGGGACAGGTGTTGGTGAAGGGTCTCACCGTTGATGACTTCCTGTCGTTTGATCTCTTGAGGAGTTAAGCTCTCCAGGACTCCTCTGCTGACGAGGCTCTGCCAGTTCAGAGGGGGGGCTTCACTCTCTCTCTCCCCCTGATCCTCCTCACTCTGGACGTCTGAAGACAACGGACACTGAACCTCCATCCTGCAGGGGGAGATACAACAAGAAACCAATGTACTTTAAGAGAAGACAAAAGACACAGGACTGCAGTACAGAGAAGACCTGAGCTCTGTGAAGCTGCACTAACACCCTTCTGTTCATGGTCCACATATGAACTATATATTTAAAACCTGAACCCTGCAGTGTGTCACCTGAAGGGGTCGGGGTCCTCCTCCACCAGCTGCTCCAGGTTGGAGGCGCTGAAGTCAAACTGAGATCCGGTCGGGCTGCAGACGCCATCTTGATTCTCCACCGGTAAAACATCCCCGAGTCGAGGCTGCAGGCAGAACGGAGACGCGTCTGAGGAGAGAGAAAACAGAGGACGTTAACTAAGGGAACTTGTTAAACCTTTGTGTTGTCGTACCATCAACTGGGCAACCTCTGTCCTGGTTTGACTGTTTCAAAAAGCATATACTATTAATAATCAGGGAGGCGTGTGGCGCAGTGGATAGAGCCTTGGTGTTGGGATCAGGGTGTCACAGGTTCAAACCCCACTGCAGTCAGCATGTCGTTGTGTCCCTGAGACACTTCACCCCAAATTTCTCCTGTGGACATTGTCCACAGTATTGAGTATGTAAGTCGCTTTGGATAAAAGCGTCTAACAAGTAACATGTAATGTAATGAATCACCCAATACACACATTTTTCGAGCTAAATCATTACAAGTTTTACAGATTTTTTTAGATTTACACAAACGTACATTTATTTTTGAGTAAAAAAAAAGGCAAACAAATCACATTTTGATATGATGTATGTAAATATATATATACTGTATGTCTAAGAACATATCTTTATGGTCGGAGTCTGGTATATTTCAACGTTTATTCAGGATTCTGTTAAACCATTTGACATTTTTTAGCACACTGTATGAAACCATCCACGTTATATTTTGTGGAGACGAGATGAAAAAACCTTTTTCCCAACAAACAATACAAAAATCGCTCAAATTTGCCCCAAAGACAACAGCAAGGTAACTCCTTTTATCTATTGATAATCTTTCAGTTTGTGTGTACAGACAGAGAGATCGAAATACCCTTTCCCACAATCCCGAATACAATAAATACAAATATACAATATAAGAACAGGAGAGTCTTACTGGAGTCAGAGTCGTGTCCGCTGTCTGAGAGTTGTCCGGGGGGCGAGCTGAGCGTGGGGGAGGTGTGTGTGTTGGAGGGGGAGGAGGAGTGTGTGTTGGAGTGTGTGCCGGCGTCCGATCCATCGCTGATATTTCCACGACTCCGAGCAGAACCAGAGGGGGGGTCCGGCTGCTCGGGGAGGAGGGAGGCCGGGGGGAGGGGCTTCGGGGAACGCTGCTTATTCATCTCCACCGCTTTACCCACTGCAAGAAAACACACGGGAGGAAATCATAAAAATAAAAAACTTTGATTCTGCATTGTGCAAACTTTCTATTTATTTAACGTTATGCAATTTCAAAACCAAGAACCTGACCCTTTAGTTTGGACCGTAGACTAGATTCATGTTTGTAGGAAGATGTATGGCAAGCAAAATCCACACCATTGAAAACAAATTATACAAACCATATTAACACGTGGTCACACTAAAAAAAACACTTTTTCTAACATTAAAGGTGGGGTAGGTAAGTTTGAGAACCCGGCTCGAGATCGCTAGAATTTGAAAATACACAGCCGGAGAAAATCTGCCACTTCCTTACAGAGCCCCTCCTCCAACACACACGAACGCCCACATGACCAATGAGGGCACGAGATAAGTTTGTGCACAGATGGAAGGCTGACAGGCAGGTAGGCCATCCAGTTATTTTAGCCGGGCCGGCTAAAATGATTGGTCGTGCTTTTTACAGTACTACAGCTTCCACAGATGATATTTATTTATGGATTTTTTGTCAAAGCACTTCAGATATTCATTGCTATCGGGATGTTAAGAGCATTCCATGGAATATAACAACAAGTGTATCTCGAGCCGGTTTCTCAAACGTACCTACCCCACCTTTAATATTGCTTTAAAATTATTTTTAAAGCATGTTTTATGCTCTTAGGATTTAACACTTTTTACTTGTTGTCTCACTCAAGATTTTTATCTTTTTACAGGGTCCTTGTAGGTAACACAAATACATGTCAGGGCTTGGGGAGGGGGTTAGATTGAGTGAAAATACTTGCTTATTATCCAAGATCACAAAATCAAAGTGTAATATTCTATTGTTTTTTTCTCATATTTATTTACAAATGTATTAATTTAATTAAATATCACCGCCCTCCCATAGACTCTGTATTTTATATTGACCTACAATGGCACTATTTTACAATCATAGCCTTTACCTCGTGGGTTCTGTGCTATCTAAAACGGTAACAATAACAACGATGGTAAAACGTTATTCTCCCTCTCACCTGAAGTGGAGTCGACTCGGCTCAGACGTCGAGGCGGGCCGAGGATGTTGGGAAACCGAGGCTTCTTCACTTTCTCCTCTCCCTCCTTCTCTGGCTTTATGCTCTTCTGCTCGTTAGAAATGAAACACATTAGAAGTATTTCCTGCATGTGAACTCATGAGATCAAGAGGGGGATCATTCTTGGACAACAAAACTGTAAATCATGATTGTGTGACGAGGGGTCGGACCTTGATCTTGGGCAGAAAGTTGATGCGAGCTCGTTTGTGTTCGAGGCCTCGAGGCTCCTTCACTTTCACCCCGAGGTGCTTCATGTAGGTGAGCATCACGTACTGCATCGTTTGGCTGCAAACAGAACAACATATTATAGGATATGGTGTGACAATATGTACTCATTTGCAGATTTCATCACACAACATGGTGCAAAAACACACATGTAGTGAAAGTAAGACTATAAATAAACCCTAAGAAGACCTTTTATACAACAGGGTTACTGCAGCTTGACGTACGTTACATTTAAAACCCATTTAATGCCACTTACAATCTAATTTAAAGCCAATTATA